CTAATTAATAATATGATGATCTCTCTCGCTCTCTCTCTCTTTCTAAGTTGGCAAGCAAAAAGGTCTAATTAATAGGATGTCAAACTTTTCCATTTAGAGTTGTTGGGAGAAGGACAAAATGCCTTGGGGGATGTTATTAATTGGAGTGCATATCATAATTAATCATTAATTAATTAATTAATATATGCTTTGTGCTTCTCTTAAGTTGGCTAGAAAACTGCCAAATAGGGTGTGAAAAAGTTGGATAACTTGGATACCCTTTTAAAGAGGAAATTTGGGTTTTGGTTTGATTTGGAGGATGTAATGCCTGGAGTGTATTATAATGGTAATTGGGTAATCTACTTTTAAGGGGGAGTGCTATGCTATCACTGCTAACATAAGTGCATAGTATTGATTTTTGCACGTTGAAACTTGAAACTTTGATTAGCTTGTGCTACTGAAATAGGGGCGTTTGGTACAGGAGAAATTTTTTTTTATCCGAGAATCTCGATTTTCAAAAATATGATTTTTACATTCAGTTTATAATAATATTCAAAAATTTAAAATTTAAAAAAATTCAGTTTCCCAAGAATTCAAGAAAATACTTCGTACCAAATGACCTTGAGAGCATTTGAATGATAATGGATTTTGGTAGGCTTGGCCCACTTTATCTTCATCATGACATTGGCAGTAGGTGACCCACCATAGGAGAGTTTTCATGATGTAACACAAAAAAAGATTGGAATTGCTCTGACCATTGATCAGACCTAAGAGAAAGAGAAGAAAGGGACAGCCATTTGGGAGTTTTTGATCATTGAAGAAGACCAAGACACTGCATTTGCGTTAGGTATGTATGTTTCTTTCTTACTCTCTCGTTGCTCCTCTTCCTTCTAGTCCTTCATAAAGACAAAAAAAAGAAAATAATAATAAAATTAGGAGAAGGTTATACTTATAACTTTTTTTTTTACAATCTTTTATAATTATATCTTATCACCGTTAATTTCCGTCAATCAACAATTGTCATTTATTGTGAATTAATAATTAATTAATGAATTTAATGTTTAATTTGCTAAAATAATAACCGTTGATTAGCAGAAATCAATAATAATAAGATATGGTTGTAAGAAGTTGTAAAAGAAAAAATTGTAAGTATAACTTTACTCGATTAATTTTAAGTGCAGTAATCATCGGCAAAACACATGTCAAAGATCAGTGGTTGGAATCTCTGACAATTTCTTGTTTAAAAGATTGTGCTGGTTAATCCCTGGCAAAACTTTATTAGCGATTATAGAATCTATGATAATCCGTGTGACTTTGATGTTCCGTTTTTTTAAGGGATTATTATTTTTTTTTTATGATTGAGACATAAAAATGAATGGATCCCATCGTTATTTTCTCTTTTATTTCTTTATACTTTCTCTTTCATTGATTTATATCTCAGTGACAAAAAAAAAAGTTATCACTAAAGTAGAAATGATAATCCCTTTCTTTAATATTATTCTTTTATGCTTTTCTTGCTTCTACTGAATAATGTGGACCCAGGAACTCAATGGGGAGGCCCAACCCAATACCAATAATTGGGCCCATATATGATGCTTTCTTTGCTTGAATGCTTCGGTTTGGGTTATTCATTTCTTCGTCTGCACAAAAGTGGCGGTTTGACTTTTATAAAACAACTATTTTGTTGTTGCTTAATATGAAGTATGAACAACTATTTTGCAAATAAATTTCATGGCATCTATGATGTAAATAAAGGGAATATAGGTTTTCATGTTACATAAAATAATTGGAATATAATTTTTTATGTTGTATGAGATAAATTATTTTATGTAATATATATAAAAGTAAGTGAGACTCACTAATGAAAAAAAAAGGAAAAAAAATAAGTGGGTTTCAGTTATTTTTGTGTATGAGATACAATTATCTCATGTAATATGAAAGAATATATTCCCAATTACAACGAATAACTTGATAGGAGTGGGGAGTTGTTCTTCAATAGTTGTCCCAATGAAGAATTTGTTTTCTTAAACTTTACTGCAACTTATATTACCGTTCTACTCTCCCAACAGCCATGGTTCATGGCAATTTAAGGCACTTAAAATATGTGTCAGTGAAAAATATTTATGGTACTATTGCTGTACCATTCATTCAGTGCATTTATCCAATAAAAAAATGAGAAATGATTGTCAAGGAGAGAAAAATATTTTTTTTATTCAAATATCACTTGTTGAATGACAGATGTAGTTACTACATATGTATAAAAGATGGTGTCATGTTAGTGAGATGTTTTAGTAGCGTAGAAACTTATAAAAGTATTCATTTCATAAATAACATAGAATCCTGCAATGGTCTCATGTTATGGGTTCCACATTTTTTAGAAGACAACAAATCAAAATAATCTTGATTTAAATATAAAAGAATCTCTTCATTAAGAATTTTAATCCCTACTCAAATTTGTGATCTTCAGGTAAATATCTTTTATAAATAAAGGGTTAAATTTCGTAGATATAAAATTACTTCTGAACTCCATTCCTTGCCCTTCAATCAGTGTTGTTAAACTTGATTCGGGCATCGACTCGATTGGAGTATTGAGTCACTGGCCGGATCGGTGGGTTACTGGACCGGTTGACTCGGACATATATAGATTTATAAAAATATATATAAATATGAACATATAAATTCAATTATATTCTCCATATCTAAAATGAATTAAACAAGGTTCACTAAATAAGCTAAAACACATGAAACATAAATAAATAAAAATGCACGCTATTACTATGTCAATTTAAATTACAACTCAGAATCCTCATAAACATACCTCTCAATGACATTGAACTCATATTTTTCAAATTCAACTACATTAAATTGGCATATGTCACATTCTCTAATTTATTATTTTGCAAATTGCTTCAGTATTGGAAACTAAAATTTGAGGTCATTGTAGAAGAGTATAGTAGCAAATAAAATTACAAAAAGTTTTTAAAATGAGTTCTACATTTTTTTATGATAAGATGAAATAGTTTTGGTTTTTTTTTTAAATGCATGACCTGACCGGGTCACCGATTTTGATCGAGTTTGGCCAGTTTTGTCCAAATTTTGACCGGGTTGATACATGACTGGTCCAATGCTTGACCCGAACCGATCTGATGAACGATTCATTAGATTCCGGATCAACCGGGTCGGGTCGGAGTGCCTTCAATCACCAAAGCAAACATACAAAATTCTACATTAATCACGGTTTTTTTGGATCGAAGAAATTCATTAATTCCAACCTTGCTTTGTGTTTCAAATATGGGTTCGCTTTTTCTGGAGTTACAACAGATAAGTTATTTGCAGTAAGTCCAATACGACGTTATTTTGGTGCGAAAATCATAGTGTTTTTATAATTTTAATTTATTTCAGGATTATTATAGTCTTTATAATTATAATTTTTTAATATTTCAATCCTAAAATGACGTCGTTTTGGGAGTAAATACAAATAACTTATCTGCACTAAGTGCAGAAATCTTTGTTGTTCAAATATTCGCTTTGGCCTAGTGTTGGACCAAACCATCCACATCCGAGAATATTATGTTTATCAATTTTACAAACGTGTTAAATTATTCAATCTTTGATGTAAAAAAATTAAAATAATAATAATTCAATCTTAAACCGATCGTAGTACTGAGATTGGAGAATTTATATGAGAAAATGCTTGCCAAAACTGAAATTGAATTAGATTGGTGGAGCATAGTTCTATTAAGCTTCTTGAGTTTTCAACTTTGTATTGACGTTGCTCAAGAATCATATACCACGTCAATCGTGACTAAGGTGAATATCATATTCTGTACACTAGTCAAAAAATAATAAAAATATTTTTCTTTAAGATTGAACAACAAAATTTAAAAAAGGACAAACTCAAAATATATCTACAAGTCCTTTCAAAGTTAAGGTATCACCAGTTTTTATCATTAAATTAGTTTAATATTACTTTTTATTTTTAAGAGGTTAATTTAATAATTTTTTTTGATAAACTTATAAAATGACTTGTTAATCTTTAGAGAAGCTATTTAACACATTACTCAAAATAATTAAAAATACCATCAGACTAATTATCCAATCTTAAAAATTTGAACCGTATTTAGCCCACCCCCTAATTTTGACTCATTTCATCATGTCCCATGAGTGGACTATACAATTCAAAGCCCATCACCCGCACCAACCCAATAAAAAGGATGGAAAATGAAGAATAAACTCTTATCTTGGTTTACAAATTCACAAAAGAAAGGAAATTTTGATTTAGATAAATAAAAAAGTGTTTGATATTTCTTATGTTACAAAAAATAAAATTATTTTTTACACATATATAAAAATATGTGGGATTCATATTCATGTGAAAATAATAAATAAAAAAATATGAATCTCACACACTTTTATATATATGTAAGAAATAATTTTATCTTTTATAACATAAGAGATATTAAACTCAATAAAAAAATATGATTTTATCTTTCTTTAAAAAATTAATATAATATACTTTTTTCACAATTTTGTTAAAAAAATTTAAATTTTTTTGGCTTAGCTTGATAACTGTTTTCAAAAATAATTTTTTTTGTTTTCATAACAAAAAAACTTGTTAGGTAAGGCTGTGTTTTATAAAAAAAATAAAATAAAATAAAAAACTATAACTATTTTTTTTTAGAATCAAATTTAAAGAATATGTCTGAGTTTGTTTTAATTTTTAACTTTCAAAAAAAAAAATATAAAAAATAATTATTTCTATTACTATTCTATAAAACAGTTTTAAAATAAAAACACTACAATACAATCAAAGCTACCCTTTATCTCTTTAACTAAACTTTCAAAGGAAATTTCACCCAAAAAAAAAAAAAAAACTTTCAAAGGAAAAGGTGTATGTCTTTTTTAAAATATAAATTTAGATCTTTTTAATATACAAATGGTCCACACCTTTATTTTTTTAACAAATTAAGTTATTTATTCTTTTAAATCACCTCAATTTAAGAAAACTTAGAAAAAAAAATGTTTAAGGAAAGATTTGAAGAGATTTATGAAAAATTTCATTTCATTTGTCTCTTTTTATAAGATTTCTAAATAAGAATAAGACATTCATGAACATAATAACCCAATTACCCAATGCAGCCACCGAAGAGTGTGTTTGGTGAAGGCTTTCAGTGTCAGTGAAACAGAGAATAAGGACGAGGAGGAGAAGAAGAAGGATCTTGAGGTAAGAAAGCACCTACTACGCCCTCTAATTCGATGTCACTTCTGCTTATTTAATTGTGCGTATTTGGGTGATGTGTACATAACCTGTTCGATGAAATGCCTTAACAAGACTTTATTTGTAGTTTGGAGTGTGAATGGGGGTAGAATATGGTTGATTCGCTGCCTTTGTTTTTATGGGGTAAATCGAATATGTTTAGGCTATTTATTGGCACAATTAAATATACCCTATCCGTCTACAAGGTGCAGTGGGATTTGGTTTCCGTAATTTATTATTCATAAATAGACTCCTGAATGGGGCTTTGTTTTCACAAACTGGGTTTCAAATTTTTGAAGAAAATTTTAATTTTTTTTTTTCCTGACTTAATGAAGTTGATGGTGACTCTCTCAAATTTTGTTTTTAAGTTTATTGGAGTATGATTACTGATGTATATTGTAGTTTACTTTGAGTAGCCTATTCTGTTAGTATGCTTTGTGTAGCTGATGATGCCAGCTGTGCCATTAGTTTAGTTAGTTCAATCTGTTAGTGTTTTTTAGTGCAGTTACAGATAGTTGTAACTGCTCTCCTATGAAATTTATAGAAGAAGCCTTGTAATCTTTGTGTATATAATTTTTCAGTGATATTCAGAACTATACACATAATCAATAATATCTTTCAAAGAAATACTTTCTCTCGGATTCTCTCTCGTTTCTTTCTCTCTTCCCTTACTTTGCTTTGATTCTTATATGGTATCAGAGCTCCGATTGGGGCCCTTATCCATATCTTGCTCTTCCCATGGCTTCCACAGACCCAAAACCTCCCCTAATTTTCAGCACTCAACTTCCAGAAAACTTTCCATCAAGAATTTTCTACTATGGAAGCAGTGTATTGAACCACCGAGCATAGCTCTTCAGCTTGAAAGGTTTCTTGTTAATGTTCAAATTCCTCTGAGATTCCAATCCGAAGATGATCAAGCTGCAGAGATAATCAACCCAGCTTCTGTGACAGCACAGATATGATGCTTCTCATGTGGCTTCAGTCTACAATGTCTGAAGAGATAGGTATGAAGATCCTTGGTGTCCACCAGTCTTATCAGGCATGGGAGAAGATCCGTCTCCATTTTAGCTATGACACGAAAGCCAAAGCTATCCAAGTTTGTTCAGAACCAAGAAATATCGAGAAAGGAGGTAAGAACATTAAGGAATATCTCCTTCGTGTAAAAGCTCTGGCTAGCACACTAATAGAAATCGGTGATCCAACCTCAGAAGTTGAACAAATCGAAATGGTGCTTGAAGGATTGCCTGAAGTGTATGCACCGTTTATCTTTATCACCTACTTCCGTGGACGAGAGAATGTGACCAGCATTGAGGATCTCGAGTTCCAGCTCCTAGCTTAGGAGACAGTGATTGCTAAGTATCAAACCAATAGTATTTCACATTCTGTGAATCTCACTCATCAAAATCAAATTCCTCTGTTTGCCCCTGTTTCATGTACAGCACAACTGGGGACTTTAAAACAAATCCCCGATTTGTATTATAGAGACCAGAGCTAATCCAAAACTTTTTTGTGACCTTCGTTAATTCTAAGAGTGTACTGGTAGTCACAATTATGTAGAAAAGCAAAATATTCTGTGAACCATGTATGAGAATACATATTACATTTGGCAAACTCTCCACCCTGTCTTTCCTTTTATGATTTTTTCCTTCTTTCCCTTGGTGGTAATAGAATAAAGCTGAATTGTAAAAATGGGAGTAGAAGAATAAAAGTTAGTGAACTTGTCTCCTGGACCAAGCAAATAAACACACACACACACACACACTCGCACTCACTACTCACACCCTATCTCACATACAAAGAAACACTTACAGTGCCAGACAGTTGCTTTGAATTATTAAACAGGAAAAAAATGCATATATTAACGTGCATGAACATGGAATACAGATGTGTCCGAGGCACACAGAATGAAAATCCTGATGAAGACAATATTAACAAATTTTGTCAAATGTTTGTTAAAAACCACATGAATTTTAAGAATCCAATGGCCCAATGCACTAATCACGACATATATGTAGCTGCTAATGATATGATGATCTCTCTCTTTCTAAGTTGGCAAGCAAAAAGGTCTGATTAATAGGATGTCAAACTTTTCCATTTGAAGTTGTTGGGAGGAGGACAAATGGAGGTGGTGGGAACTGAGAATGCCTTGGGGGATGTTATTAATTGTAGTGCATATCATTGTTAATTATTAATTAAATAGTTAATATATGCTTTGTGCTTCTCTAAGTTGGCTAGCAAACTGTCACATAGGGTGTGAAAAGTTGGATAACTTGGATACCCTTTTAAAGAGGAAATTTGGGTTTTGGTTTGATATGGAGAATGTAATGCCTGGTGCGTTACATAAATGGAGTGTATTATAATGGTAATTGTGTAATGTATTTTAAGGAGAGTACTTCCACTGCTAACATAAGTACATAATATTGATTTGGATGTTGAAACTCGAAACTTCAAATTTACTTTGATTAGCTTTTGGGTTCTGAAAAACCGTAAGAGCGTTTCAATAATAATGGATTGCTCCCACTTTTTCTTCATCATGACATCGGTAGTAAGCGACCCACCATAAGAGAGTTTTCATGCTGTATCAAAATAAAGATTGGAATTGCTCTGACCACTGATCAGATCTCAAAGAAGAATGGAGGGAATGAGAAGAAAGGGACAGCCATAAGGGAGTTTTTGATCATTGAGGAAGACCAAGACACTCATTTGCGTTAGTTACTCATATCGTGTGGGGGCAAAGGTGACTACTGAAACTTTTTCGATGACTTGATAGTGTTGGCTGTCATTTAAGTACACTGTTTGATGCTTTTTTGAGTTCATTGTGCTCACAATTAAGCATTTATATACTGATTGTGTGTGTGTTTGCAATGATTAGCCATCTTGTTTTGGATGCTGAAATGAACTCTGGATGTATGTTTTAATTGCTGTTTTGCTTTATTTTGGTTTAATCCTGCTTTTTCATTTCATACCGAGATGATTTAGGCTGTGTCTGAGTGTACTAGAGACTAGGGAAGAAGGTTATGTATCAAGTATCCTTGGTATGGGAATTACGATTTCTAAAATGTGGTTATTGTTTTTTGGTGAATTGACTGCCAGTGCTGAATCTTTTTATAATCGCCATCCTTGTTTGAGTTTTGTTCCTTATCCATCCGTTAGCCTTGGATTTGTAGAAACTCTGAAGCTGCCTTTTGTTCTCTTATTTTGATGTGGATAGGTCTGAGTTAGATGTGTCTGTCTTTGCATTTGACGTGTAATATGCTCGGTTGAGAAAGGCTTTGATAAGTGCCTGCCTTTTTTTTGTTTAGGAGTTTTTTTGTATCCTGCACGTGACAAAAGCACATTTTTTTAAAAGTTAATGTAGCGGTTCTGTTACATGGGCCTTTGCTTTTGTTCTTTTTTGCTTGTGGACAGCAGATTACTTGCTTCCCCTTTTTATTTACATTATGTACTTTGCTTATTTTGCCTCAGTCTCTCTCTTATCGAGAAAGAGTGGAACAAAATTTGCCGGGATATTTTCTATCCCTCAACTAGACAGTACAACCAATTCATTGTTTGTTACATAGGAAAACAAGAACATGTTTGGTTATTTCCACTGCATCATTTTCATTGTGATGCCATCATACCTTCCTCCATATTAGCTGTCTGTTTGTGAGTCCTTATCACTTGCTAGACATAGCAGTTGGAACTCACAAACATTGAACCTAGAACTTTTGATATGAAGGTGGTTTTATTAGGAAAGCGGGGATTTTCTGTCAAGTTAAGCGTGCACAGGGATGTCTTGACAGAAAGATTTGTTTCTTGTCTGACAAACTTTCTGAGAAATCAGGTTAGTCATGTCTCCAAATCGATGATTGTGAGGATGTTGAAATATATGTTGAAACTGTTGGTCTGATGTATTTCAAGGAAATGAAGCAATGCTGACGAGCAAGGAGGTAGACAACCAAGGAAAGAGGTTCAGCATCTGCAAGGACAAGTTAAAGGACAGAAAAAATAATTTAATAATTATATGAATAAAGTAGAGTGGTTCCCTCCCCCAAATTGGAAGGAAAGAAAAATAAAGGCATTGGATGGAATAAATTCCATCCTATTTTAAACAAGCCAAATAATTGCAACTAATACCATTTCATTCCATTCCATCCTTTTCCATCAATCCAAATGTAAGCTACATGACTTTGAATTTCCCATTGCATTTATGGAATGTAAGTGTAAACTTTGGTTTAGTTCCATCGTTTTGATAATGGGGTAAAATAAATAATTTCAAGCTAATTATTATTTATACAACTAGCTACAGGTGCGTTTTGGGGCAGATTTATTAGGGGTACTTTGAGAATTGAGATTTAGATTTCACCTTTCCTTATGCCCTTACTAGGTTTCAAATTCCTGTTTTGTAAGGAAAAGATATATTGTCTGTCATTTTTTCTTGTGCAATAAACTATTAATGATGACTCACTTTTTAAAATTTGTCCTTGCCTACAATTTCGGTTGTGAAAAAAAGTGTTGGTTTAAGTTATAGGGAACTTACATGTGTATTTTTGTAGGAATATACACAGAAAACAAACTTTATGTTTCTAGACCTCATGTCCATTCTAAATACATATTTTACCCTAACTTTTAAAGCATTTTCTGTCTCAATTTTCTTGTTGGGTTTCTAACTCAGCATGGACAATTGAGGTGTGTTTGTCTCTGTTTGGAGCAGTTGAGAGTGCTCCAGATTAATGAAGTACTGACAATTATGAAGCTGCAATTTTGATTGAAGCTGGGTTTCCGGATTGTAATTTCATCACTGATGGGTTACAGATGCATTCAGTGCGGCTTTCCCATCAAAAGACTTTACATTCAGTACTCTCCAGGCAACATTCGCTTGATGAAATGCGTAAGCCTTTTTTAAAAATATAAAATAAAACTAAATTCATGATCATTCATTTCATTTTGTCTTAAATTTCCGAATTAGATGATTTGAGTTTCAGACCCTTTTATGTTGTAGGAGAATTGCAAGGAAGTGGCAGACGAATACATAGAATGTGAAATCATGGTGCCTAGAGCCTCCTTATGCCACTGATTTAAAAGTTGAAACCCTTTGGTTTTTTTATAACTCCCCTGTTTTCCCCTTCCCTTTTGCAGATTCTTGTAATTGATTTAATACTTCACAAGCCCAAGGCCTATAGACATCTCCTTCACAATGTCATCAATCAAGAAACCTTGAAGTTTCAGGTATATATGAGTTCCTCCATGGTTCCTCCTGCACTATCATATTGTATAATTACTTGTGTGAGTGTTGTCATTTTTATGTATCTTTACTGAATACTAAATTGTTTTTATAGTTTTGATTATTGCAATTGTCACCTTTTAAAAAATTTTGGCAACCTCGTAATTTTAGCTGGCATCATTGGTGACAGTTGGGTTGTTTGATGATAATAAACTGTTGTTGTTATCTGTAGTTGTTTGCTGTTATATTGTTGTCTGATAATAACAAGCATGAATCATTTTGAAATTTGAACCGGATGATTAGTATCTCCAATTGGATTTAAATTATTGTTATCGAGGAATCCTAACCTTTATATGAAAAATATCTATTGAGATATATAGTTCCACATTGGTTGTATGTGCAACTAATGTGGCCTTTATAAGGCCTTGGACACTCCCACCCTTAGAGCTAGCTTTTGGGGTGGTGTATCCCAAGGTTCTTTACATGGTATCAGAGCCTCGCCGCCCCCCACTTTCTCTTGTGGAGTTTCTTAGCACAGGTAGGCTGAGCCTGTTGCATTGTCCACGCTTCAAGCCCAATGGGCTCTCGTGTGAGGGGGCGTGTTGAGATATATAGTCCCACATTGGTTGTATGTGCAACTAATATGGCCTTTATAAGGCCTTGGGTACTCTCACCCTTAGAGCTAGCTTTTGGGGTGGTGTATCCCAAGGTTCTTTACAATATCTCATCAATTTGGATCTTTAAATAAACAAATTGATTTATTGTAATATAATCTTACTTCTAAGGTACTTGTTTTGTCCTTATAATCTAGTAGAACTTCTTGAATAATATGCTTGGTTCTTTGTGAGAGAATGCATTTTCTAAACAAATATTCACAGAAAATTACCTCAATAGCATATTACTTGCTAATATAATTCATTTTAACTTAAGGAATATATAGTGCTCAGGATGGATTAGAATTCTGGAGGGTCAGACCCATTTTTCTTTCTATGTTTCAGATGGTTCTTTTTAGTCCCTTTCCCCTTTATCGCTCTTTATTCTTTCTTTACCACTCCTTTTTTTTGTCTTTTATTTTATTTTATTTCTTTCCTTCTTTACTTTTATTTATTTTTTCTCTTAATCTTTCTTCTCTTATGTATTTATTTATATATTTTCTTTTTCTTTTTCTGTATTTTTTATCTCTCTATTTTTTTTTTTTTTTACTTTCTTATTATTTTTTTTCTCCCAACTAGTTTGGGATAAAGGTGTTGTTGATGTTGAAGTTGAATATATAGTGCTCAGAATAATGAGATCCAATTTATCTAGGGTGAAGTTCAAAATTCACTTTTGTGCTTATCTTTTAAATGATTTATCCCCTACTCTATTTTTTGTCACTTACTTTTCCTATGATTTTTTTGGGTCTAATTCAACCTAGCCGTTATTTAAAATTGTATAAATTATTCATTTTTCCCAAGTGAACAATAAACAAAGTGTGAGATCCTCCTTCACTCCTCGAATATGTCTCGTTTTCAAACACCAAACATTTATTTCATTGTTTAGAAAGATGATCAAATAGGGCAAAGAGTTTGTGGGATTACTGGCAGAACCGATCAATGGTGAAATGTAGCATTTAACCCATAAGTTAAGAGGTTGTTTGAGCGACAAAGAGGCATTAGTTAGAGCCTTCTCAGCACCGGATCGACCCTTGCAAGATTACCTCTCCAAGTCTTGTGCTCCAATTCAAAAAATAAACAAATCAACATATGCACCTTGATGAGAGGAACAAAGTTCTCCAAAGGACAGAGACAAGATTTGCTGTCCAAGACATAGATTCAACCTAAAAAGCCATACCCACTGAAACCCTAGAGAAAGGAACTTTGGAGAGAGAACAGAGAGATGAGAGAGAGGTTTCAGATAGCAGCCAAACGATGGGGCTCACAAAGGGTAAAAGATCTCATCACTGGCCCAAAGCAAAACTAAAGTATGTTTAGGAAATACAAATAACATTTTTAATAATAAACCTAAGGGCAAACTTAAATTACTCAGCCACCTACCATTTCTGACCCAAATAACTATCAATGGGTAAGGGGACACACTTTAAAAAAATGTCTAATTCCTGCTTGAATTCAACTCATCCGCTTTTATTTGCTATATATTTAAATGGGATAAATTAATGAAATTGAAACAGACTAGTAATAAAGCAAGAAAGTGTTAAAAAGGAAAAGATTCTCTGCGTACTATCCAAAAATGCATGTTAATATGTGGATACATTGTCTTTTTCATTTTGATTAAAAAAAGCCAATGTGTACATAATTAAAGTTTTCCGAAATACTTACCAGCATTCCCTGTCGACCACACAAGCAAATTCGAAATCAATTTCTCACCTTAGATCCACATATCTTTAATTCCATGAAGGACACTTTGTCTTTGTCGCCCAAACAACCTTTTAATTTGTGAGCCAAATGTGATGCTGTACAATCGATCAAGCAATCCCATGAAGTTTGGTGTTTGGAAATGAGGCATAGTTGAGTAGTGAAAGAGAATCTCACTCCTCGTTTATTGGGGAAAAATGGACAGTTTGTGCAATTTCAAACGGTGTTCAAGTCCACTTTTACGAAAAAAAACCAAAGGACAGATAAGTGATAAGAAATAAAGATTAGGAGGGTAAGTGATTTTATAGTAACCACGAGGTTTTTCAACTTTACCCATTTATCTACTCAATGTTTTACTTGTACTTCATACTTGTTTAATCATTCACCTTTTCCAACACTAACAAGTTGCTCATACTTTTTGATAACTTTGCAGGGACTACTCTGGAAATTGGCTGTCATTTTTCTTCTTTTTGAAGCTTGTATCCATTCTTGTATGGATATTATTCTTTTCCTTGCTTTAGGAACAGAAAGTTTTAAATTCTAGTTTTTGGTTAATTATATATGAGGTACGAGGACCTTACATCTTCTTAAAGACAAGTTTTTTATCTTGGAAAGCAGCAAGGGAAAATTGGGTTCATTAATGAACTACTCTTCATTGGTTTCAACATGTTGGAAGGTTCATATAACTATAAATATTTAAGTCACCCTTTTACTCAAATCACTTGGTTTGGAATTGTATGCTAATTCTGATGAATGTTTTGTGGTTTTCATTGGCAGATGCTGATGGATGTCTTCTTTGGGAACTTTATATTTCTTTTAACTTTCTTCTTTATGGTCAAGATTTTTCTCCATACTTCAATCAGCGTCTCCAGGTATATACTTCTGATTTATTTGTCATACCATATTTGGAATGAAGAAAGGAACAATTTGTTAGCATACTTTCCATTTAATTATGTAGAAAAAAAGAAAGATTTGTTTGTTACTTTAGCATTTTGAAGAAAGATTGAGTAACAAAATTGTCCATTAGGAATCTCATGAATCTAAAAAAGGAATCAAAGAAGAATTTTGATAGGAACTCAGAATTAGAGCAGAATATAGGGAGACCAAGCTCCTTACAAGATGAGGTAGCCCTCTCTGTTAAGACTGAAAATGCAGAAAGATAACAATGGAATTCTGCAGATAACAAGGGAGATCAGCTACAATCGGTTACAATAGTGCAATGGGACCCCAGTGCAATTATAGATGCACTGACACTGTTTCTTGGCCAAAAATGCCAAAGAAAACAGAGCAGTGGGGGAGAAAGGAGGCACTCACCTGTTTGTGTTTTACCAGGAGGAGCCAAGGCAGTTTAGGGACCGGAATGGTGGGGTTGGGACGAATTACAAAAGCGTGAGACTGTCACATGCCTTGTTGGTCATTGGTACATATAGTGGCAATTCTTCAGCTTCAAGCATAACTTGGTGAATGTGCTTCAAGCAATGGTACCTGGTGGAAGTTTCTCTCACTTGTTACGGGATCCTGACCCACTCCATCTTGAGGACAGGATGAATCTTGTGGAGGGTGGAGTATTGACTGGCCCTTATAACTGAGGTACATGCTACAAGGAGGGAATGAAAAGTGAAAGGATAAACACATTGGTGAGGAGGACAGAGTAGGAAATGAAGGAAATATTCATGTTGTTAAGTCTGCTGTATAACCGAATGCTGAGCTGACAAGGAATAGTAAGGGGTGGGAATTGAGGAAAAAGGAAATGGTTTGGGGTAGGAGTTCAGTGCATCTACAGTACTCTAGATTTATAATTTATTTTCTGCATTTTCTGTTCTTGTAATGAACTAGTCTCTGTTGTTTTTATCAGTAAAAATTCAGTTCATATCAATTTTTGTTCTGTTTTAATTATATTTAAGTATAGAACAGGATATGATGAGGAGAATTGCTTCTTGAGTCTTGTGTGTCACAAATATGAGTTATGGAAATATTGGTAAGTAGTGAATAGACCGATTTGTAGTCATGGTTGAGATGATAATTTCAATCTGATAATCATGTAGTTCCGATGCACAAGTGTGAAATAGAAAAGATGGTGTAGTAATTTGCACCAAAAGGTTCATAGAATGCTATCAAATTTTAGCTTTTAAACCTTGTAAATAAAGGGATAGAAAAAGACAAAGTATGATAGAGTATGGTACTATTTCTTCCAATTTTAACTTTATGGAAGCATTAATAAGTTGTTTTTAATTAATTAATATTTCTGTCCATATCAATTTGGTGTTTCTAGACCATCAAGATCACTTGAGCTTAAATGTATTCATCTATGTAGGTGCATTGACCTTTTGCTTGTACTCATGATTTCGGGTTACTTCAAGATTTTTCTTGTTGCCATGATGGTAATGTCTGCTATTCCGGTGACTGTCTATGATGTGTTATTAAATGTAATATATTATTTATGTCTTTAACTTTCAAGTATGTATCCTATAGGTCTGGGAATTTCCATCTTCTGTCATCTTCATCATTGAATTATTTTGTTTATCATCTAATGCAGTGGCATTGAAAGGTTAGTAATCATGTTACCGAATTCTTGGAGAAATGTGTAATTTTACTCATTTAAAATGCAAGCATAACACACCCTTTTGATGCTACATGATAATTTGGCTTTAGCAGTTCTCAAATTCACAGAAAACTCAGTATCATGCATGATGTCCTTCAACTTTGTATATTCCATCCCCAACTTTTCTATAAGCCATTTTTCTGTTGAGTTCTTTCACATATATGGTTGTGTGTGTATGTATGTGTATGTGTTTTAGTTTGAATAGCCAGTGGTTGTAATGAACTTAACATGAACTGCAATATGTGCGTGCGTGTCTCATATATGATTTAAGTCGGTGAAGAGAATAAAAAAGAAACGAAAGTATTATTTGAGTGATTCATCTAACATGGGATTTGATTTTATCATTAGTCCAACTATTATTCCTGTCGATTGATTGCATATACTAGTACAAATGTAGCTTTATCATGGAAAGAAATAATTTCCTTTTTTATGTCTATGATCTGAATGTATGTCTACATGCTCAAAATTACATTTGCTTTTTTCTTTTCTTTTTTTTATAAAAAAAGAGCTAGCATTTACTTAGTTTCATTTTGTCACTATTATGGAAAATTATCTCTAGGATAGCTTCTTGTGTTTTAATAATGTCCACCAATCCACCATGCTTGCTTGCCGTTGAACACTACTGAAGGTTTTTTTTTTTTCAACCAGTAACGACTGAGTCAACTATGCGTTCATGTGTTTGGACCTGCTTCAGTGCATATGCTATAAAGTTCTTTGTCCCTCGGGTGCTGGAGCTCATATTGTTGGGGCAATTAACGCAAGGCTAGAGTCAAATTCCATGCACATTGTCTTTAAAGCCAGCATGATTTAGTTTTTGAATTGTCATGCTAATGTATTAGTTGGTAAATTGTTGGCGATAAAGTGTTTCTCAATTGTATGCATGCACCTTGACATTTTTTATTTGAAGCTTAGATTTTATTGGTGTGCTCCTTGGCATTCTTTTTATGATGCTTATTTATATGCAGATGAAGATTATCGTATTCGTTTGCACTGCGTAGCCCTTAAATGATCGTTCATTTCTTTTGACACCTTTTCCTCTTTTGTCCACAGAGGAGCATTCAGCGTTATCAAAAGCAGCATTTTACTTTAAAATCTTAAGGGGATACTTAAGGTAGAATGGACAAAATTTTCATTAACTTTATTTATTTATTAAAGATATTCCAATTGGTTTATTGTTTCGCGTGACTAGTCCGATTTGGGGCGGGTCCCAGGATTATGTCAGGTCGGTCCAGGGAGGAGCCCGTGGCGGAGGACCACCACCAATGAGTTAGGGCTACACCACCATATCAAGTGGATTTGATACCATATCTCAATCCAAAACCTTAAGACATTAGGTTCATGGGTCATCCACTTATATCCACTTCACTTAGCTCATTATCAACCAATGTGAGATTCATCACACTTAAATACTTCAACAATCTTTCATTCAAATGTGAAACCCAACATTGATATGTTCTCCCTCAACCGAGTACTTCAAGGCCCAGGTACACAACCTGCCTTCTAGTCAAACACTCGGCTAGTCGGAGCCAAACTCGGCTCCGATACCACTGTCATGTCCAAGGAGGAGCCCGTGGTGGGGGATCACCACCAATGGGTTAAGGCTACACCACTATATCAAGTGGATCCGACATCATGTCTCAACCTAAAATCTTAAAGCATTGGATTCATGGGTTCATCCACTTCAGCTAGCTCATTACCAATCAATGTGTGGAATTCATTATACTTGAATACTCCAACAGATTAAGGCTTTAAACCCTTCCCAAAGACAGTACTGAGAGAGGATCAAACACATGCTCTCATCCTCATCTACTCTACTCAGTTTTCTAGCGTCAACTGAGCTATTATCTTTTGGTATCATTAACTTTATTTGATTACTATATAACTGGGCATTCATTATCCGTGTCTTAAAGTGTAATTAATTACTTCTTTCACGTGATTTGTCAAATTTTTAGGATTGAATTATTAATTTAGTATTTTAAAGATTTATTTAACTTAATTTGGTCTTTTAAAGATTTTAACATCAAAAAAGATTTATGACTATAAAAAATGATGTCAAAGTTGTTCTTCCATCAAGTTATGGTGCAATAAAATAGGGAGTGTTTCTCTACCAAAAAAAAAAAATGGGGAGTGTTTCAAATTTTAATCAAACGCATTGCACACAGACTTCTTAACATGGCATTTTTTAATCTCACGGTAGGAGGTTTTTAACATGGAAATCTCAAGGGCAATTGAATACTCAGAGAAAAATGAAGACTCAGGTGAGGATGAATTTTCTGTACAACAATAATCTCAGTATACAATGTTAATACTGTCACTGCAAAATGTTAAGCTAAAGTATTCAACATTTTCATTATTGAATATTTTAAGAGTATATACGTTTCGATTTTGAGATCTAAAAAATTTATGTCATACTAGAATATCGTGTTTGGATTTCGAAAATAGAAAATGATTTAATTTTAATTAATTGGGAAAAAAAAGAGATTTGAAAATCAAATATTATGTTTGGAGCTTATTAAAAATGAACTTAATTTGATTTCATTTTATTATTATAAAAAGGCTATTTAGCAAGGGGGGAGTTGTCAATTGATATAAAATTTTAAATCAAACCATTACCTTCCAAATTTGATAGGACTTAAAAATAAAAGTAATATAATCTATCGGATTTTAAAAATCAAACCATTTACTATTCTAAAACACATGATACCATTTTTAACATTCAAAACAAACTTTAATTTATCATGAATTTTTCTCCTAACATGTCATAATTGATACAAAGCTTTATTTGAATCATTCGCTTTTGAATTTAAGCTTTTATGGCCCTTTAACTTTTTTACCATGCGGATAGATGAAAACAATAAATTCAATATTTAAAAGGATGTAAGAGAAAACTAGTAGATGGAGAAAATTTGAAAGAATAAGGTATGAATAAGAAGTGAATAATGAGAAATGAGGAGTGACACAGATTTAAATAGAGGATTGGGATGCCGGATGCCACCTCTCGCCATGTTGTCGGTGGAAGGCATAACTTGACATGACAGCATAGTAACTTTTTTTATTATTATTTACTTGTATGGATTTTTACTTTCAAAAAAAATTCTTAAGTTTTTACCTTTAATTACTTGCACATAGTAACATTACATGTGTTGGCCCGGATAAACTAAAAAAAAAGGTGAATTGAGTTTATTAAAAATTTTGCAATTTAAAAACACACGCAACGAAGATAAAATAAAAGTAAAAAAAAGAAATGACACAATTATTTAATGTGAGAAAAACTCCAACTAGAAAAAAAAAACTCATGACCCCAATTTGGATACCTCTATCCAATTGAGAGACAAATTCATTATCGATCAATTCAAAGTACAAGAATAGATCATATTCTACCTTTATACAAGAATTAACCTGAAACTTTATCCAAGGTTTTCGGAATCCTACCCCTAAGATTCTCACGAAGTCTAGTCAAAGACTCTCCCAAAACCAAACGACTCTCGTCTTTATTCGCAATGAACAAAGACCGACTTATTTATAAGCCATAACTTTTTCCATGGTCAAGAAAAAAATCCAATTAAATCCATATGAAAAGGCTCTAGGGGTCGAGAAGTACTTACCAAGTTTTTGTTATAGTTGATGATTACTCAAGATTTACATAGTTTATTTTTCTTGCTACAAAATATGAAACATTTGATGAATTTAAAGCCTTTGTTAAGAAAAATCAAAATGTAATTGAACATCGACTTATGTCTATTAGGTCTGACAATGGAGGAAAATTTTCTAACAAAAAATTTGTTGAATTTGGCAAAGAGCATGGCATTAATCATAATTTCTCAGCTCCTAGGACTCTGCAACAAAATGGAGTAGTGGAAAGAAAAAATAGAACCCTAGAGGAGATGACAAGAACTATGCTGATTGTAAGTGGACTACGATGGAACTTCTAGGTTGAAGCTCTCAATATCGCATGTTACATCACCAATAGAGCATTGATAAGGCCATCGTTAAAGAAGACTCCCTATGAGCTACTTAAAGGGAGAAAACCTTCAATTGTACACGTCAGGACATTTGGGTGTAAGTGCTTTGTGCACAATAATGGTAAGGACAATTTAGGAAAATTTGATCCACGTAGTGATGAGGGTGTATTCTTAGGATACTCCTCATAGAGTAAGGCATATAGAATGTATAATAAGAGGGCAATGTGTGTTGAGGAAAACCTTCAATTGTTATTTTTTATGAATATGATGCCTTTGATAAAGTTGTGCAGGTTCCAAATGATTTTGATATAGGTTTGTTAAGGTCATCTACAACAACCTTAGAGCCAGACATAGATGAGGAAGATAACTCTGGTGTCAAAGCAGTAAATCACCAAAGAACAGGAGATGCAAATACCACAGTGGAGGAAGTTGAAACCAGAAAAGCAGAACTTCATGAACCTATCGATCCTTCTGAGATGAAGCTGAAGAAACACCTGATGAGCCTATGATGAATCAAATTGATCAACTTCATTTCAGAAAATGGAAACATCAAAGCTCACACCCACTGGACATGATCATTAGTGACATTGAAAAGGGGGTACAAACTAAGTCTCAAGTTAGAAATTTCTATGCTTTTAATGCTTAATTTCTCTAACTGAGCCTACTAACATGCAACTGCTTGAGCGACGCAGATTGGGTGTTAACAATGCAGGATGAGCTCCATCAATTTGAAAGAAATAACTTGTGGCATCTTGGACCTAGGCCCAAGGATAGAACTATAATAGGACTAAAGTGGGTGTTCTGAAACAAGCTAGATGAGCATTGCTCCATCATAAGAAATAAAGCAAGACTGGTGGCTAAAGGTTACAATCAACACAATGGATTGATTATGGAGAGCTCTTTGTACCAGTAGCAAGGATGGAGACAATCAGAATTCTCATTGCATTTGCTTCATATATGGGATTCAAGCTATACCAAATAGATGTGAAAACTACCTTCTTGAATGGCTTGCTACAAGAGGATGTGTATGTTGAGCAACCCCCAAGCTTTGAGGACCCTTCCATTGGAGACTATGTCTACAAGCTTGATAAAGCCTTGTATGGGTTGAAACAAGCTCCACGAGGTGGTATGCAAGACTCTCAAAGTTTCTCCTAAGTAATGGGTTCAAAAGAGGTAAAATTAGGAACCCTTAGGTTTTTGAAGCATTGGATTCTCACCAACGTTTGCGTTACTCAAGCCAACATTCTCGCTTCCGTTTCTTTTCTTGAGATTCAAAGGTAATGATTTGTTAATAGTTCAGGTTTATGTTGATGATATTATATTTGGTGCTGCTAATAATGACCTTGTTAAGGATTTTGCAGCCCTTATGAGTAATGAATTTGAGATAAGCTTAATGGGAAAGCTGAACTTCTTTTTAGGGTTGCAGATTATTCAAAATGAAAGAAGGATATTAATCCATTAGTAAAAATACCTCAAGGAGCTTCATGTAATGGTTGGATGAGGTGAATCATGATCATGCCTTGGATTAAAATCTTTAAAGTTTTAGAAATTAAAGAAAAGAAGATTTAAAAGTTTTATTTTTAATCAAAATAGATTTTTAAGATTTGGTTTTTGATTTGAAAAAGAAAAAGTTAATTTGAGATTGATTTGATTTTATCTAATTTTGGAAAGTTAATTTGAAGATTTTGATTTTATTTAAAAAGATAATTTGGAAAGTTTTCTTAAAAATCATGATAATCTTGAGATTTTTCTTTAGTAATTGATTTGGAAAAAAAGTCTATAAAGACAATAACTTGAGTCCTTATCCAAAGTTTGGGTGAGCATTCAAGAGAAAAAGGCTTATGAGCATTCAAGAGAAAAAGGTTTTTGTGAGCTTTCAAGAGAAAAAAAAGGTTTTTGTGCATTCAAGAAAAAAAATGCATTGAGCATATTATGATTATTTTTAAGGCGCATTCAAACTAATTT